TTCCCCAAAATATCGCGTGTAGATAATAAAAATTAAAAATTTCTGAAGCGCACCATTTTGAAATTTGTAGATCGGTGCCGAGCTTGATTCTTAGTATTTATGTAATTACTATATGCCTCACAAATATATTCACCAAATGCATCTCTGAAACGTGGGTGACAAAAGCGAAGTAAATTCTCATTGGACGAAGTTTTGCTATAGGTGTATCAAGTAACACGCTAGTTTTCTACGCTAAAATTCGCACATTGAATTATAAATATGCTAACATGCCACCTCGAAAAACTGATAGCAGAAAAAAGGTAGAAGTGTATGAAAGATAACGTTGCGTCAAAAACACAAATTATCATATCATTTCCAAGACCGTTTACATAATGAAAAAACTAAGACTTTCGTTACTATTCATAGCGTAACAACAATATCTTCTCCCTGAATGTCGTTAATTCGTTTAATTATTAGACCGAAAGGGTTATTAATCTCGAAACACTACGTTGTTTCACTTTTAATTCGAGTCTCTTGCCATTCGTTATAATGTCAGATACAAATTTTTAAATTTAATCATTACAAATATACAGAAAATATAGAACGTTCTCATGTTAGTCTAAATGTCTGTTCATCTGCTGTGCTATAAAATCTTTCGCTATTCCACCTGGACCATCTCTAGTGATAATCTGCTGATAAACCATATTAAACTTTAAACTAGCCCTTTTGAGTTATGAGGTATTTCTCCCACTTTCCTAGCGTCCTTCGTGGTGTAGTGGTTCTGCACACTGGGCCGGTATTCCAGAGGTCCGTGGTTCGATTCCCGGCGAAGGCGATTGCTAATTTTTCATTTCGTCTGCCTCCAAATAATCCTAATGTCTTTACAGTGGCACCCGAACTAAAAGGGCTGTGGATGATGATTCTCCACATCCAGGATTTGGCGACTAGGTCCCCTAAAACCCTAGTCACCCTTTAAAAAGGGGGTATATGAGGTGAGTGAGTGAGTGAGTGAGCGCCACCAAGGAAGACCACTGACCTGGCTTAGCCTACAGTGTGTATCTTCCTGGCAGAAACCATTATCTGGCCCATCCTGCTCGGGAACGCAGCCGAATAGTATATGAGGTATTTCTCCCACTTTTCTAGAGTCTTGCGTGATGTAGTGGTTCTACACACTGAGCCGGTATTCCAGAGGTCCGTGGTTCGATTACCGGCGAAGGCGATTGCTAATTTTTCATCTCGTCTGCCTCCAAATAATCCTAATGTCTCTACAGAGTGACCTTTAAAACCTGAACCCTTTCAGAATTTTATTTATTTATTTATTTAATTTACTTTCTATGCTATTTTATTGCAATACAGCATTTGATAAAAAATTATTCTTCAAAATATTTTCATTGCTAGCTCTAAAAACGTTCTGTATAGTGAGCAGTTCTATCTTCAATTCATTCTTATATCATGTAAAGACATTAGGTTAATTCGAAAAGCCGGAGAGATGAAAAGTTAGCAAACGCCTTCGCCGGGAATCGAACCACAAACCTCTGGAATACCGACCCAGCGTGCAGAACCACTACACCACGAAGGCACGCCAAAAAGGTGGGAGAAATACTTTATAATATAAAGTCGGCATTTCGTGATTCTTCGTCTCGCTAATGATCGAGGGGATAATGTGGCTGAATACGAGTCCGTCAGCTTGAGAGTCAAAGCCCAAACAACAGGCCATCTGTTTTAGGTAGGTTTACCTTGTGTGTAACATAAGCTTGTAGTGCATATAAGCCAGTTCTCATTTTTAAACCCTTTATGGAGAATTTTATCCTCCTTGAAGACATCCCACCTCTTAGCAGGTAAAATCCCAGTCATTCTTTCTGTTCTGAAGATTTATATGAATCCTTATGATATGTTTCACGTGACAAATGTCACCCCCTAAAATATTCCGCCTGGGGTTGACCGTCTTCTCTTCTTCTATCTAACCACGCCGCTGACTCAGGGCCATCTTCCTAGAACCATTTAGTTGCTAGTTTTTACTTACAAAATAGAATGTTGTGTTGACAAAAGACTGGAACCTGTTGAGGAAACAGGTACTCAATGAAAAGATGGAGATTTTCAGTTAGCAATTTCACGGAAGAAAAGCAGTCAGAAAAGCTCTCAAGAAATGAGGCAATTAATGTCCCAGAGAGAATCTTGTAAAGGCTGGTCAAAATTTTACTGACTTTCACAAGTTTGGCATTCATTGATTTTTAATAGTTTTGTGATATTCATGCAACTGATGCTATATTCAGTTATAAGCAGCATCAGTAACATCAACTTCCGAGATGAAGAAAAAGTGGAACGTGATTTACATGATTGTGCGACCAAATTGAAGTTATGATGGGGAATCTGATCACCAGTTATGATGTGTCTGTGCAAAGTATAAACGTATTTTGCAATCGTATGCTGTTAACAAAGAAATGTGATGTGATCATCTCGTCAAAAACCAAAATTTAATTGAGGCCTAATGAGAAAAATTGTTCTTGTACATAATTTTTTGTTTGGATTCTAACTCACAACGTTATGCGCTATATATATACACGTCAGTTTATCAAGAATTCTGTAAAAATTCGTTCATTCCGAGGATTGGTCACCCAATGGTCAATTTCCTGGCTCCAATGAGTTATCGAGCTTACTATTAGTACCTGTACGATGGTCCATATTCCAGTGATTATTTTCGAAATTATTTATAGAGCCATTCTAAGTTTCTACATCGTGAGCAGCAGTAGTACTCTGCCTTGTGTACTGTAACTAAGCAGTATATAATTATTTGCTGTTTCGGTATATAAATGTAATGAAAAATGAAAACTGAAAAGTGACCCTTGCTTAAAGCAGTTAACTTTTTTTTAAGTGAAGAAGGGGCACTTAAGTTATAAGGAATGAGTCATTTAACTATCATAGAAATGTCATATTCCTATCCTCTATAGTTCTTGAAAAAATAAAAAATAGGGTGGGTGCATGAAAATGATCAATATAGCAGAGGCAGAACGTTTCTAGCTTCTCTATTTACACTGCAGTCAAAGAGAAAACATTTTTTGCGAACTGTGTTAAGAAACTTTATGCGCAAGGTAATTCTATGAATCGCATTAGTTTTTTTCTCTTTTGAATTTTAAAATAGTGAAAAGTAGTTTACCACTTCTGATGCTGCCAAGATCCACCAGCGGCCGAGTGCATAAAAGGACTGAACACTGGTATTTCGACCGAGTTCAATCTCGATGAATAGGCGGCTTGCAGAAGAGCTTCCTTAGTGCTACGGAAACGAATCGTGAGTATGAACCAATTTCCCTTAAAAAGGACTTCCACGAAGCCAAGCCTTTCCTCAGACAGAGCGTGTTCTGCATTTCGGTCACGTTGTATCGCTGATATCTAAAGCTTGCTAATTTACAACCTTGTATATTAATTGCCGGTTTGTGTACGTCGATGGTAGGGCTAAGAGGCATCTCGCGTTAATAATCTCTGTGCAGCTTCCGCTGATTACTTAACTTAGGCTTAGTTTTTAATTTTATATTTCTATTTTGAGTTACAGCCAAAAGTGTTGGCTTAGTTTTGTAAGCACCAAGAATGCCGACTGTAAATACTGAGTTGAATAAAAGGGACTTTTCACACTTCCAATGCCTTGTTATTGATACAGTTCCCAGTTAAAGCAAAGATCTAGTCAACAAAGTAACTTTAATTTAGCTAGAAAAGCGGTTCTCAACTTTTGACTAACGCGTACCATCTAAGCAAAAAGTGAAAAACTTTAGTACCACTATTACATTTTGCAATGATTATTTTTCAGTTTCTCAATGGAAATATTAAAAAAAAACCATTTTGTCATTTGCGCAAGCTATTGGCTATTTATATTAAATCTGCGTATATAAAAATATTAGATTAAAAATTGATTACCATTTGTACTATCAAAATTTAAGTTATAACAATTTAATTCTAAAATTTAGTGTGAAATTTGATCCTGCTTAAGAGAGATCAATTTCTCTATCTGTAGTCTTATTTCACTCAGTTTTAACCTTAAATTAGGATCCACTTTTAATTTTGTTCTGTATTTATTTTTCAAATATATAACATGGAAGGAAAATCCTTGTTTTTATAAATCAAACAGTAAAAACGTATAGAATTATGTTGGTAAATATCAAAACTTGAATAAAAGTAGTCATTTATATTCAGAAACTAAAACTAAATACTTAAATAAAAGGCTGACTGTATTCCCCCGTTGAAAGTATGAAATTCTTCCCCAGAAAAGAGAATTCCCTCGGCGGAGAACCCTTGCTCTATGTAAAATCGATAGTAGTATAAAAATAGAATATAGTACTTAATTAAATATTCCCATCATTAGAAAATAATTTGTTTTCCAAGGTTGTTTTCAATTCTTAATTTTGTGTACTCGCATTAAGAAGGATTGCATTTAATTAAGAAGGAATTCAAATACCTGAAAAATTACCTGACTGAAAAACAATTGTATCATTTTATTTGAAACAAATGTAAATCGTTATTAAATCAACTATTCGAATATTCATTTCATACACATACATAATTTTTCTTTCCTTTGAAAATAGTATAAAAATTTCGTGAAATTTTGAATAAATACATTATTAGAAAATCTTACAAGTTCTTTTTATTGATTTCTTTTCGAGGAGATGCAACTGAAAAACTCCTAAAATAATTTTAAATTATATTTCGCGGAAAAAGACTTTCCTCTTACACGTACATGAACGAATTTTATTCATTCATTTCAAAGAAGATACGGTAGCATTTTTTTATTATAAATTTGTTTATCTGTCTATGTTGAAGGGGAGCATTAACGCTTTACTCATTGTCTTCTAAAGGATGTTCTATGGGTTTTAACTCCAGACCCTGTATATCAAGCCTTGGACCTTACATAATTTCGCATCCGCATTCTCGGGATTATCTGGGCGGATTGGTTTACAGCTAATAAATATTTTTAAATTATACGAAGGCCATTTTGTTGTTAGTTGTTTGGAAGAAGCAAGGCTGTGAAGATAAGAAATAATATTTAAGAATCGTCGACAGCACACCCTACGCATTAATCCTCAAACTGAAAACTTGAACTGTATTTCGAGATCCAGACCGGCATCCCTGCAACCTTCACCATGAAATCTTTCTTCGTTGTTTTGGCTTTGATTTTCGCCGTTGTGGGATGTAAGTGCGAACATTTTATATTTTTAACGTGAAATTAGATTATTATTATTTTGGTCTATTACTTTTTAGACAAAGTCTGACAGATGGGCGTTTGATTTCGATTTCGTATAAGATTTGTACGATTTTTACAACTTAAGTTCTGAATTTAAAGTTTTTAGATGAAGATGTTAATCATATTTTTCTTTAATGTTTCTGTCATATACAGCAAAGGAAGGAGTTTTAGGCTATTTTTAACAACTCTCTGCATCTGAGTCACCGATCTGTTTTTGAATTTTATGATCTAAGAAGACCATTTCTACTAATTTTGTGCTTATTTAAATTTTTTAAAAAATGTTTAAATTATTATTGAATTATGACTTAATTTCTTTCACCCCTTTTTGAAGTGATAATGCTCTTTGCTTATATGTTTATATTAATGGGCGAGAGATAGAATTAGGTGTAGCTCCTCTCACTTACAGCCTAGTAAGTTGCAAATTTTGAATGGCAAATGAAATAAAATTTATGTTATTCTTTGCCAAGTTATGTTCTATGTTCTTACACATTTGTATGATATTATTACGAATTACTCGAACAGAAACTTAGAACCATACTGCTGATTAAAGTTGGACTCAAACTGAGAGACATGAAGTTGCTTAACATTTTTGCAGTTTCGGTTCGGTCTTTGAAATACGTAAAAATATCAGAAGAAACTAAATATACGAATTTATTTTTAAGCACTTGACTCCAGCTTTTAATTTACAGTTCATTTGTGTAAAAATTACTCCCCGATGTTGTACTATTTTGCATGGCAGAATAATAGTAGTGTATTCGGCGTTGTTATTAGTGGTGGTTATAAATCCTCTAGTAATGATTTTGACTGATTGAGGACATTTATATCTTATCTTACTTTATAGAATATTTTGTACGATATAGCACTAAATGTAAGAATTACATGGAATGATATTATAATTGTATTTGCATTTATTCTATATAATATGATTTAAAATTAACCTGAAATATGATTTAAAATTAACTATGGAGAATTTTATAGTAAAATTAATTGTAATAATATTTTATGAAAAAAAAAAGGAATGTTATTTCGTAACGGAATTTTGAAAGCCAATTGTATTTTTTAACTACTGATTTTAACTTTTATCGCCCTGAAAACAATCTTTTAAAGCTATTTATTAGAAACTCATTTACTTTATTTTATATCCACATGCTTATCAATATGTGAAAATGAAGTGTAATATAATTCCAACAACCGCTGAACAATTGCTTTTCTGATTTAACTTAGTTATTTGTGTGTAATTCTACGAATTTCTGATAAATTATTTTGCTTACTCTTCTGCAAAATGGTATTCAGTATATCATCAACAAAACGCCAAAAACAGGAATCTTCATTTTAAATTGGTTCATTTATTTTTCTAACTCTTACTTTACAGCTTTGACATGTGCAGAATTGAAGTTTTAAGCTATGATCAGTATGTAATCTGGAAGTCAACCTATACTTCATCTAATGTTTATAAAATTCTAGTTAGTTCACATTTAGCTTAAATGAGCAGAAAGAAAAAAATTTCATAAATACTCGTAAATGATTATATTTCGATATTCAATCTAAGTAATGTTTAAAATTTTTAAAGGGGTTTTCAGATGTCTAACAAAATTAAACATGCCTTAAAAATACAATACATAATATGAAACTTAGAAATAGAAATCAACCTATGCAATGATAAAATAAAATAGTTGCATAAGGAAGTCGAAAAGTTATTGACAAACTTAAGAAACATACAGAGCAATGGTCTTCAAAAACGTTCAACCCATGGAACCCATAAAGCTACATTTTTTTTTCAGAGAATTCCTACCATCCTGAGAATAGAGAATCCTAAAAAACCTTTGAAAATATATTTTAGTTTTCACTATAGTACATGAAAAATAAAAAAGAACTCCTCAATTTAATAATAAGTTTTATTTATTAATTTGTATACATATTTCATTAATTTTTATTTATTCATCGCAAGTGTATAACAGAAGTGATTTGCTTGCGTATTTTGTACACAAAATACTGAATTGGTTCTCCACTGATGTTATTTGTAAGCAAATTTCACATTCGGCCATCAATCTATGTTTTTAGTCCAAAGGGATTTGAATCCCGAAGGACTATTAGTTTCGTTTTGGCATTTTGCGTCGGACTCATAAATTTCGGTTCACTTTTCAAACTGTTGCCACAAAATGTTAGAGTCCTGCATTATATTTGAAGAAATTAAATAATGAAAAATCTGCATAAATGTATGTATATTTCTCGTATTGTGATAAAAAACGGTACATAGAGTCATCAAATTTTGAATAACGTAATCCTCCAACGAATATGAGCATGTGGAAGACCAAATTTGAAATTTGAAATTTGTTTTATGATCGATTTCCTATTTTTTAAAACTTTGACGAATTTTTGATTAACAAACTCAAGGATTTCAAAGCGAGCAATGGCAAACGTTGTGCAGAAAAAACATTTTTATCTCCAGCGCGTGAGTCTCTGTATCGGAAATTCTAAAGATATGCTCGTTTTAAAACTATTTTGCGATATTGCTGTTGCACTGGATCTTATGGTTTAAGTGCGAGGAACATGATATTTAATAAAGAAAGGTAACACACAAAATGTTAAAAAACGCCCCTTTGGACGTAATTTAAAATCTGAAACATTTCAGATTTATTTTTTTCATTTTATTGTTGCGTTGTTAATTAAAGAACAAGCCGGCTCTAAAGCAGAGGTGAGATGATCAGTAGCCTAGAGTTAAGTCGTTCTCACAAACGACTGCTAAATAAAGATACATTTTGTTTTGAATTATTAATGCATTTATTTTTATACTGGGCAATATTTTTCTTGATTGCCTAAGACACCAAATATCCTGGAAGCGGAGTTGATTGTAGAATAGTACTCTGTATCTCATTTCAAGTAGAAATAGAATAAAAAAGTCAGTTCTTGTCATCCCTTACTGCATTCTAATGCTTGTATTCATTTTTATTAACTCAAGTAAATATCATCCTTTTTTTTAGGTGGAATGAGCGCAAGACTTCGCAGGCAAGCTGAAGCTGCTCCAGATGCGGACACTGATGTTGCTGCAACGTAAGTTATTTCATTCGATTAACGACAGGTTTTGGCTGAGATTTAATTTCAAGATCCCTCGTAGACTGTTCTTAACCAGTACGCTGAACATACGTGGGCAGAAGAAGTTATCAATTAGCTATTACTCCTCTGATAATTTAAGGACGGAAGTTGCAATAGAACTCGGGAATACGACCTAAGAGACATCAGGCTATATTGTATCATCAGGCCATTAAATAGCTCATTCTGAGTATGGGTGCATTTCAAGATCCTTTCATTAAATATCAAATGTAAATTTTGTCTTACGTTCATAATTCTTTGACAACCCTTTGTAAACATTTTCCATTTGTTAAGTTAAATAATATGAACTAGAATTGGAACTAGGATTTAAATCTCAAATCTCGTGAATCTTGCTAAAGATTTGAAGACCCCAATCTGTGGGATTTTTTCATCATTCGAATCTTTCAAATCATAACTTAAAAACCCATTACATATTGAAGTTCAAAACTTTTAAAGGATTGGTTTTGTTAATCCTCAGGAGAACGTTCATTAAAAAAGAATGCGTCATTGCAGTCGAACTGCAAAACATGAGTATTAAATCTGGCAGCTGAGTGCCATGATTCTTTTTTTAGAAAAAATTAGCTTTCCAGGCTTAGTGTTTATGTAATAAATTTTGATACAATCTTCATCTTCTCTGCATTTGTTTTTATATAAAAGTCTTCTGAAAAGGAGTAAATGATTTCAGCTCTTACTTAAATACTTATTTTTGTTGAATTATATTTTAAAAGTCAGCTTCAAAACTCCAAAGTTTTAATTGGCGCAACATGTATTGAATTTCACTTGTATTTGCTTAATAAATGAAGGTACATTTTTATAAAACTGCTTTATTAAATTTGATTTTCATTAAACACAGGCTTCAAATCATACACCAATTAAAAACTTTTAATGTTTAAGGAATTCCCCCATTTTTGTTTTAAAAAGTCTTTCTATGAAATATTTGAGATATGTTTCGGACTCGAGAGTCGGATTTGAGAAATTTTAGAATTCCTCCCACTTTCTAGATTCATGAATATCCGAAAACAAGCAAATTACTATTCGCGACTCAAAGCAAGTCAAAAATGTAACCTTAATCTAGAAATTAATGGTGGAAGAAAGAATATCTGTATTTATTCGTGCTGTTTGCTTATAAGACATTATCGTCTTTAAGACGGAAATTTACATGCACTAAAAATAAAAGCATAATTTTGCATGATTTTAAATAAATTATTTTCTTAAATTTCATTTTTTTCTTGTTTGTAGATTTAACTACTTATCATACCTTTAAATATTTTGTAACGATGTGTAGTAATTTAATGTTTTTTGATAGCACACAAGATCCCACAATAACTCGTTTGAATGTGGCTTTGTACTTCCTGCTTACAGAGCTTAACAAACAGAAATCTTTGGGTGGACCAGCAAATCCCGGTGGTATCCAGAAAGTAAGTTCTCCCGATAAGGAAATGTTTACTTTAAATCCTCTTTCTCTAAGGTTTGCGTACTTCTCCACTACAATTTTACAGCATATTTCTACTAAAATCTGTTACAGTTTTACGCATGCATGCTACCCTGAAGGCGTAAAACTGTAATAGATTTTTTTCAGAAATCAAATTACCTTCCTCAGTTGACGAAGTTTTGTTCCTTTATTTTGGACACATTTAAGATGTCACTAAAGTACACCGGTGCTTAAAATACAAGTACTTTCTGTTGATACGTAAGCAAGTTACATTGCTCCTTTTTCCTTCTTAGCGAATGGTGTTTAAATTATGTGGTTTCACAACTTTCCGATTTGTGAATGTTTGTAGAAATAGAACAGGACTTAAAAAAAGACTTGAGTGGAAAACACGAGTTTTCTTAAGCGTAACCAATTTATCTACGAGTAAAATGATAGCTGTTCTTTATTTTGAAAGAATTCAAATCTAGGAGAAGGCATGGTTGTAACTGTCTGTCTCTTCATAGGAGGCAAAGTGGCCCACCTATTAGGTGCCTCCAAAATAAAATGGCCACAACTTCTGGCCTTAGTAGTGGACAAGCCAAAGTCGGCTGAGGGCCTGTCATTGGGTAAAACAATTATAGAGATACATTTCAGTCCACAAATAGCAAGAGAGTCACAGAAAGGCATTGACCACTAGAAGAAATTAGACGATTAATATTTACAAATATTATAGACTCGCAAACTTGTTATAACTTTTATCCAAATAACAGAGAAGGCGAACCATGACTTAAGAATCAACTTTGTTCTTCCATGCAGGCGAGATTATCTTGCAAGTCGCGTAGACCCAAGTTCTTGCTAAAGTTGTCGGACTCTGCATCATAAGCCTCCATGAACTAATTTTTAAAGCAACATGCTTTTATGCAAGTTATAGACGAGGCTAAAAACGCATCATTCAGTTAGTTAGATCACCAAGAATCGAATCGAGTCAAATGCAGGACCAATTGTTAGCGTATTTCAAATTTAGCCACTTGACTACTGACATAGGCCGTTTGTAATGTAAGGAATATTAAACCTAATCCTGAAATTAAGTATATATATAAGCATATATAGCATATATATATATATATATATATATATATTTCAGATTATTATTTATTTTAACAACGTCAATATAACAGTGATGAGCAAGAATGTAAAATTTGCGCGCATAAGAAATTAAAAATAATATTTTAGGTACATTTTTCAGTAAAAGAATTTTACTCTCACGTTTTATTCTTAAGTCCTTAAAATTTCATTTAAGTTAATGAAAGTTCGTATGACAACTATTTGGCTGATATTTCCAAAATTGTTAAAAGTATGACAACAGTACTGCTTAAGCATCAAGAAGTCTAGAATGAATAACACATTTTATTAACTTTACAATAGACCACAAGAGTAGGGCTTAAACGGCTATAGTCTGCCTGTGGATCGTTAATTGTTTTTTTCCTGCTATAACAGACTTTTTTTTTTTTTAAATCTTCACTTGTCTTATGTTTTATTTTTTTTTTTGCAGGCCAATGCTTTAGTCACCAAGATCAGTCTGCTCGGAGGGGACGTAGATGACGTGAACAAGGACCTTCTGGCTAATGTTGTTGCCTACTCCAAGCCAGCAGCTGCTGATCCTAAAGTTGACCTTTCACAGTTCGGTGCCTGAACTCATCATGTCAAATGGATCTTCTAAGTTCTCAGTAGCAACCGAGTACCAGGAAATAGGCAAACAAATCATTTTGCTCAATACAGTTTTTAACAACCCACCAAATTCCTCAAGATCTCAGTCGTAAAAATTTACGATAAAATTCAGGTATTGTTTGCCCACTTCCAGCCAGTCTTTGTAGCTGGTGATGGTACATTCGCATGTAAAAATTGTTTTTGAATAAAATTTTATTTGTTTGCATTGAAAAAAGACTGTATTACTGTTCATGCAACACGGATAATTCAATGCAGTTAAATCCTGAATTTTTTCTCATCGCTAGGTGTAACTTCAAATTTCAAATGATAAAAGATAAATTTTTAATTGAAATTTCCTTCCGTATTAAAATTGAGATCCGTTATTGATCGACAGGTGACAGGTGAGAGCAGGTACGGACACCCGGACTTACATAGACTACTCGGGTATCGTCCGGATCCCGCAACTATCTGAAGCTACACTCCGAAAACAATACAAGGGCAAAATATAGATTTTTCTGCGTGCAAAATTAAACATTTTCATGGCTACATCGCATGCTAACACATTGCTACATATACTCGCTACAATATACATTTCATAATATGCATTGCGTTGATCATTGCACTGTATTTAAGGCACATTTACAACTCAATGCTACACTTAATACACTATATATTCTTTGCAACATATTACGCTAAACATTATTCTTGACAATTCAACATAGATTCTGAACAATGTAAATGTTTAAAACTGACATAACTGGATTATATAGTACATAACTTCGTTATATAAGACAGACTTAAATAAATAACTTGATACAACAGATAAATAAAATAAGAGCTCTTAAATAAAGAGCAAAATTGCACATTACAAACAAATTACACATTTTTCACACAGAAATCCTCTTTGTTTACTTTGTGCTGTACTTATAATACACAGAATACAGATTTAAGAACACAGTACAGCCCATATTACTTTTGATTAAATAACATGTTAAAAGTTAACTGTGGCATAAATTTTGCTGTATTCTTAAAACATAGCAAAAATAACTTTGTAATTAAACATTCTACTGGTTACATTGCACCTTAACATACTGCTATATATAAAACACTCAATACACTAAAATTTTTATAATACATATTACATTGAACACTGCACTATATTTAGGACACCTTACAAAACTCATTTCTACACTTAATGCACTGCGTGTAGTGGCTACATATTACATTGAACATTACTCTTGATTAAATAATATAGGCAGTGGTAGTAACTCTTTGTTATATACAACGTAATTCTTAATACAAAAAGCTTATAAAAAACACTGTTAGAAATACACATTGAGGGAAAAAATTACAGATTAAATTAATTGCAGTTAAAAAATTACATGTGCTAGATACATTAAATACCGTATTTACCATGCACTATACATTTCATAATATGCACGTTAACACATTGCTATATATAAATTACTCAATAGACTAAAATTTACAGAATGCAATAATATTTACATACATATAACTACTATAAAAATTACTACTATAATATTTACATTCTGTGCTCTTGAATACATTAAGTTGTAGTACTACAGTTATAATTATTATGCTTCCTGCGGCTCAAAGCATAGCTCAGCATGCTACGAGCACTTACACATTTTACCAAGGTACTATACACAATGTGTTGTACAATACATTATTCACAATACGCTGCACAATATTCTATTTATAAAATGCACATGCTTACAATATTGCACCCATGCATTAATATGCTCATTACAAATATACATACTTGAAACTATTTACATTTGGATTAATATTAAATCATATTTACATTTGTTTTTCGTGTTCCACAGCCTAATGTTACTCTGCGTACTGACTCAAGATGGGCTTCTTGCAGGGGCCACTGGAAACCAGTGTGCATTGATGCTTTGAATCTCTGCGAAATTTAAGGCTGTTATTGTGGGCTGCATAATTCTAGTCCTAGTGCTTCAAGCTTGTTCATAATGCTTTTGAGCTTCTTGAGATAGACCGGCTGCTTAATGAAGAAGCGTTTATAAGCAATGTCAGTATCAGGAAGCCTCATGTGCCATTCTTCCGTAAGAGGGCAAGATGTAACGTAATGATCAGGTGTACCTACTTCATTACAGACTCAATGATCAGTTGTTGATATTACCCTTTGATAGAAACATTGGGGAAATGGTCCGTGGCCTGTAATGAAACGGGAAAGGAAAGGGGCTGAGATGAGTCGATCTTGGGAAACTCTAGTAGAAGAACTCATAACAAAGTCATGGGTTCTACGGCCTTGCGATATAGAGTACCATTCCTCTTGCCATTGTTGCTGCGATTTAATGCGACAGACTCGCTTCAGATAAGATTTGGGAAGCGGGATCTGGACATCTTGCGCACCGATATTCTTTGCAGCTTCCTTTGCAAGAGTGTCTGCATCCTCATTGCCTCTGTGGCCCGCGTGTGCTTTAATCCATAAAATCTGGATGTTGCAGTCATGATCATTTTCTTTGAGCAGGCATTGTATATCTGCTATAATCGGTGGTGGATGGAATGGATCACGAAGAGCAAATTGCCGACTGACTATCTGAGAAAATGCAAACGTCTCGGTCAACAAACTTCATAGCTGCTGTTATAGCCTGGCGCAATGCTACTGCTTCAGCTTAAAATACCGATCTATTAAGTCCAATGTATCCTTTCCAAGTTTCTAAGACTTTATCATGATAATGAGAAATAAAAGCGCAGCCTGCCTCTTCGTTGATTTTTGAGCCATCAGTGAATATGCTGATGGTATTTCCACCGCCTGTGTCTCTTACCCGTAAATCCTGAGACATAGAGGTATGGGCACAAATGCCCAACCCATAACTAGCGGGATGAACTTTGAGCTGAGAAATTTTGTTCTCAAAGTCTGATGGTACAGATGTAGTTCCGCTAAATGAGGCTGACTTCCTAAGAAGCATGACAGTAGAAACAGTTGCCTCTTGTAGTGCGGCTATTGGCAGAGGAGTAAGTCCAGCTAGAACCGCTGCCGCTGCTGTGGCCGTTGTCCTGTATGTTTTCGTGATAGCAAGGACGAAAGGTCGTTGAATGCTATTAAGTAAATTCAATTTCCTCGCAGTCATGGGTAGGGCCCAAATAGCTGCCCCATACAAAACTATTTTTTTTACTACCGTCTTGTAAATAGTCTTGAGGAAGTGAGGTCGTAATCCCCAAACTTTGCCCTGCATATTTTTAATTCTAGTTGCTATTCTTGTGGCTTTGACCCTTTGGGCTTGCAAGTGAGGAATCCAAGTGAGGTTTTCATCCAAGATGAGGCCAAGGAGTTTTAGCTCCTTGACCCTCTTGACCGTCACTCCTCTTAGCTTGATGCACGGGTTCCTTATGATGATTTGTTTAGGCTTGTGAAATATAATGTATTTAGATTTTTCCTGTGATATTTTAAAGTGTTTTTCAGTGCAGAGGTTTCAGTGCAGAGGTTTTTCAGAGCGAGATAACCTCGTTGCAGTTTTTCTCCAATTCGTCCCTGCTATGGCCTCGAACGATGAAAGTGGCATCATCTGCAAAGGCTACTGTCTTTGTATGCGACGGCCAACGCGCATTCAGTATGGAGTTAAAAGTGACATTCCAGAGATCTGGTCCAGAGATCTGGTGTTATTGATCGACAGATTGATATGCGAAGAACATCTGTAACGCATCAAAAGGGAAGTACGCATAATTCATTCTTACTACTTTCTAGAAAACACATACAGCCATGACAAAATACATACAGAAAAACATAATAGAAAATACATATAGGATGGCGCTACCTATCATACAGCACGACAGACTATGGCAAATCTCCGCCAACCCTTCTCATCATGCTTCATTTTACGATTTGGTGACATCAACTGGCCAGCAAAATTATAACATTTTAACGTCTTTCATTACAGTAAACTGAGACCAAACTTTTGATAAAAAGTAAAGCGACTTATCGCTATGTCTAAGTGTAAAAGTAACTTAAGACGAGTATAAAAGACCCTTTATTTTAAACTAAAATGGATGAACAGAAAGCCCACCTGGTGTTTATGATCCACGCTAGACAATGATCGGAAACCGACTACTCATGAGACTGGGATAGGGTTTACCCAGGATCCCAAGACAACTGAACTTTGCTCACGAAGCCTGTTGCTTAGAAATCCTCCAGCATTTATGGCGAAAACTGAAAGTAGAAATTCAAATGTAAAACTAAATTTAAATATCTAATAGGCAAAGACTGCACACAACCGTTTAATCGCGAAGTTGGCTCAGACTTCACCGGCGTAAATTTAACTATCGGTACAAAATAACGCAACGCCGATTACAGAAACTCTTATCTATAATAGCAAACTTAGTAATGTGTCTTCGAGAGGCAGGATACGTTCTGACTTAACATTCTCAACCCTCACTTAAATACACGTGAGCTAATTTGCATTTTGACGGCGAAACGGAAAAACAGAAGCGACATTAAAGAGTCCAAGTATAAAATAGTCCAGTCATTGATAATTTAAATTAAATATACTTCATAAGATCACCAGACCTGTCACTGGCAAACTGCTTCCTTTAAGGCTCTCACCTGGAGAGGAATTTCCCTGGGGAGATTTCACAGTTTCAGAGGTAGAAAATAAGAAGTGATAGTACAGTTTTAAAATAAAATAAACGTTAGTAAAACTTAGGATCCTTACATTCTTCCCGCCAGAGTTAGTTAGTTTGAAACTGAGGTCTAAAACGACCATGTTGAAAACTTTTAGCTCTAGATTCTAAATCTAATGCGAGGCCAATCTTTTACAAACATTCCTCACTAGAAACTATCTAATCTAGAAATTAGTCGTTTTTACATGATCAATTCCATGGACAATTACTTTTCATCTGTACTGCATCTACAAAGAGGAGTTTTTTTTAGTTGAATCTGGTTCCATCCAGAGATCTAGAAGGAAAATTAGTTTAATGAAATGTTAAACAATTAAATGGCAAGTAACATGAACACGTATATCTTTCTTTTAAAACTATTCTTATTTCATTCATGCCATTATTTAATTATCTCCCCGTGCTCTCTGACATGTGTTTTAAAGAGAAACACCAAACACGTGCGTGTCTATGTACAAGTGTTCAACACTACCACCTGCAATCAAAACACTAACGTGTTAAAATTCAACATAACAAGACCTCAGAATACACCTTATATTCATCTCTGAACCCTGAGGTACTATTCTCAAAAAGTGGCTAACTCTGAAGTATAGCGTCAGAGAGCCTAAATACGTTCATTCAACATTTAGCACATATTCACAATACTTTGCTCGTTTTACAGTCATACCAATAAATTAAAATTTTGGCATTACTATAACATTTTCACTTTTAACATATCACAGTACTTCTTAACTTTTAAGATAACAGTTCACATTGTATATAAGGACATATTAACATGCCGTTAATTTTACGCATTTTAAAACATACATTAGTAGTACTACAATGTTTGTTAACTTCTATTTCTTTCAAGCAAGGGCTAATTCTTTTATATTTAAATACTATATTTCAAAAGTCCTTCAGACTAAAATTTATTTTCTTGACAGAATCTTTTAAATAAGATTTTATAAAATAATTTTACAATTTTCTTAAGGTACCTTTCTCATAGATTGCCCACCAGCGGCCGAGCGGTAAAGACGCTGAACACTGGTAGTTCGGTCCGAGGTTCGAATCCCGCGAACGGACTGGCTGCATGGGCGTTTTCGTGGTTTTCCCCATGTGTAACGTGTATACGAGCCAGTTCCCCTTAGAAAGTCCTCCACGAAGGCATCCCTCCCCTTAGGCAGATAGCCCTCGAGGCTATGCCATAATCACACACACACACTTTCTCATAGATTACCAAAGCTTTTACAAAACTCAAGTATTTACATATTCCTATTATACAATAATTTTAGTTTACTCGCGAGTAGTTGAAAAACATAGTAACAAAATAGGTAAAACTCATTTCTCGCCTTTTTGGCGATAAAGGTAGGCCTCACATGAGGTAAAACTTCTTTAACTTCTGCCACTTGCAGTAAGAAGGAAAAATTAACTTAAAGTTCCAAAGTAACATAAAATTTTACTTATCTTTGTGATATTCCGACATCCGTTTTGCCACCCAGGCCTGGAAAGTGGCGAAGACTACAGTCTGGTTTATCCTGCGTCTTGTGCGGGTTCGTCCTTCAGTTCCTTCCTCAGTGAGCTTTCTTTTTTTTCCTGTTTGATGACCCTTGAAGACCTTCTTCCTAACTTCCGATTGTACTCCCGGACGCTTGATGGCAGCTGTTCTTGGAGGAATCGGGACAACTCTCTCCCGTTGTTGCCTGGATCTAGTTGCTGGCTGTTCAAACGTTTGTTGCTTCCTTGCATCTGCAGCTGATTTTCCTGGGTCGATTCGTCGACATTTGCTGCGTAGACTCCTATCCGATGGGTACATCTTTCGTTTTGGAGCAGTGTTATGGTTGCTGCCATTTCTCCTGGCTCTCTTTGCATTAGTAGAACTTTTCCCTTCTTCATGCTGGGGGTGGTCGTGCCCTCTCTTTTCTGGTCGGTGGAACGGCTTCTTTTTCTTGTTACCTTCAGTTTTCCAACGGGGGAAACTTTCTTTTCGTATGACTTCTCTACTCCTGGTTGGCCCTTGTGATTGTTGTTGTGCCACCTCTGGAGATTGTGCCTGCAGTGCCGGATCCAGCAAAAGATCTTTAAATATTTGCATTTTATTACGATTATAGAATGGTTTGATCGGGTCAATGTTTGCGGTGCAGGTTTCACCATTCTTGGCTTTTAACACCACTACAGCCTGAGTTACTTTCTCTATTACATAAGGTCCTTCAAATCGTGGATAGAACTTTGCAATTTTATCTTCTGGTGCTGAAGAAAAGTGAATGCTTAATTTTTAACACTTCATCCCTTACTTTATAAGTTGCTTCCCGTCGTTTCATGTCATAATACAGCTTCTGTTTTCTTTGTGCTACTTCAGTGTTCTTCTTTGCTTCTTTAATTAATTTTTCTATATCGCCCATTTGAAATTCAGGGGCTCTTTGTTGAACATAAAATAATCTACCTAACGGCGTTATAATCTTTCTGCCTAAAAATAACTCAGCAGGAGTTTTTCCCGTCGTGTTATGTTTGGCGGTCCTAAGGGCGAAAGGACCCGTTCCGCTATATTTGATTGCGGTTGATACGGGACCATTTTTAAATGACGTATGCCCAGTTTTTGGCACATATCTTCAAATATATTACTTACAAATTGAGGACCATTATCCGATATAACTTTTAGGAGCGCCTCGTATTTTAAAATATATTTATTTAAAATAGAATCAGTAATTACTTTCGAACAGGCTCGTTTTAAGGGAACAATTTCGGTCCACTTACTAAAATGGTCAACCATAACAAGGAGATACCGACTTTTATTTAACTGAGCTGCAAAGGGGAAAGGGCCCAATAAATCGATGCCAATTATTTCATTTGGAAACTTTGATTTAATGCTATTTAGAGACTCGGCCGGGCGGAAATTAACAAAATTAACTGCTTCACATGTTGGGCAGGACTGGACATACGCTCTTGTTAACTTTTGCAGCTCAGGGAAATAAACACTAGTGTGCTTTGCCATAATCAAATTCACCAACCAACACCAGGAAAATAAACTGCCTCGCGTACACGTTGGATGGTTTTTCGAATACCATCATTAGATGCCAAAGGCGAATAGTGCAACGCAGTATATTTAATCTAAGACTAGCTAGGATAACAGGTCGAAATTCGTTGTTGGAATTCGTAGTTTTTGTATAAAATAATAGTCCATCTATTAGTTCGTAATGGGCCGCCCTATTTCTTATCGCCACAATATCTTGGTGGCTAAAATTTTCAGGATCCTTTAAATACTCATAAATGTTTTTAAATTCAGGATCCTTACCCAGTTCGGTTATTACAGTGTCTCGGGAATGTATCGTACATGCTGTGAGCATTGCCACCTTTACACCTTACCTTCTTCATCTATTTTTATTCTGGATAGGGCATCTGCTACGATATTTTCCTTTCCGGGGGTATGTTTTATTACCAAATTATACTCCTGTAACTTGAGTGCCCATCTTATTAACCTTGGGGATAAGTTTTTTCCTGAGTATAATCTAGTTACCGCCGCATGATCAGAATACACTGTTATTGGCGCATATCCAAAATAGACTCGGAACTTTTGCACTGCTAACAGAACTGCAAGTGCCTCTCTCTCAGTCGCGGAATAATTTCTTTGAGTTTGATTTAAAGTTCTACTAAAAAATGCCACGGGCTGCTGATTTTGGGAAAGTACTGCTCCTACCGCATAATCCGAAGCATCCGCTGAAATTTCTAAATTCTCATCGTTCTCAGGAAATTTCAAAACAGGGGCTTGCGTTAACGCTTGTTTTAATTTTTCAAACGCACTATTGGCTTCGGCCGTCCACGAGAATCTTGCCTTTTTCCTTTTTAATTTTAACAATGGTTCAGCAATAGTTGCAAAGTCTTTTATAAAGGATCTATAATATGAACAAAGTCCTAGAAAAGAAGACAGATTCTTCGCCGTATTTGGCGGCGGATACTTTTGAATGCCGATTATTTTTGATTCGTCCGTCTCGATTCCTTTCTGAGATATTTTATATCCCAAGTATTTTAATTCAGTGGCTGCAAATTTACACTTTTCAACATTAACTTTTAGACCGGCCTCATTTAATAATGAAAACACCTCTCTCAAATCTTTTATATGTTGATCCAAATTATCACTAGTAATAACGATATCGTCTAAATATATAAATGTTTTCTTTCCTAGAACAGGCCTTAGCACAATGTCCATACATCGCTGAAATGTTGCCGGTGCTCCTGAAAGGCCAAACGGCATACGCAAGAATGCGTAAGTGCCAGACTTGGTTATAAAAGCAGTCTTAGGCACATCTTCTGGTTTTACACCTATTTGAAAATAACCAGTCGTTAGATCTAACGTAGTCATGTATTTCGTAGAAGTTATGTTCCTTAAAATTTCTTCAATAATACGTAACGGATATACCGGATATTTAGTAATGGTGTTTAATTTACCATAGTCAATTGCAAAACGCCACTGTTTTGGATGTGTAACTGGATAATCGTTATTTTTCTTACATAACTCAACCGGGCTGGCATAACTACTTGAGATGGGCGTTATGATCTTGTTACTTAACATATCTCGAATGTGCCACTCTATAATTTTTTCTTTAATCTTATCATATCGATACGGCTTGTGGCGAACTGTCAGTGAATCTCCAGTGAATCTGTGTCGATTTAATGGTTCGTAACTTGAGTAAATCTGGGAATATCACTAAATAAAGAAGCAAATTCGCTTACCACTTGGCAAATTTTCTCTTGCTCACCCGTAGGCAGGTGGTTGAGATTTAATGTGGGTGGTTCTATTTTTTCTTCGAGCACTGGTTCATGGTCAGCTTAAGGGACGCTTGGTTAAAATCAAGCGTTGCTTCGGCCTCTGAAAGAAAATCTATTCCTAGAATTACACGTGCTTGTAGATTTTTTACGATAAAAAACACAATTTTTACCTGCTCATCCTTAATACGGATATAGAGTGGTATTTTACCTATGCATTTGCATCGTTCCCCCTGGGCAGCTAATACTGTCGTATTATCCGAATTATATAGTCTATATTTACGGAAGTATTTTCTAAAAAAGTCTTCTGCCACACAGGAACACTGCGTGCCTGTATCCAGGAGTGCGGTGGCTGGAATATTGTTCACCAAAACTTCAATCTTTGGAAGACTCAAATTTTTCCCAATATCTGTATTTAGCTTGAAGGAAGAGGGATTTTCTTGGCCTTCGGATTTCCGCACCCTCCCGTCAGCAGAAATACGTTTTAGTTTAAATCTTCTTTCTTCTTTTCCATGCCTTCGTTCTTTTTCCGCTGGCCTTCAAACTTTTTTTCTGGCTTATTATTGAACTGTCGACGTTCGCCGGTTGTTTTCGGATACTAGGGTTTCTTTGACCACTGATTCGACTTGCTTCCGTAGCCGTGCTCTTGCCTTGGTCTTGGCGCACTAAATTGGCTTCGTTGCTCGTGCTGGCGTCATCTTTCAATGTCCGCCGTTCTTCTACTTTCAAACTGGATTGCGAGTTCAAATAACTTTTCCAGTGTCGTCAGATTCCTTAATTCAATAAAGTCTTGTACTTGGGGAAGTAATCTAGGCAAAATTACTTGGATTATTTCAGGATCCGGCCGGCTTCCATACAAGAGTTTAAAGACGTGTATTTTTCTTAAAATAAAGTCTGAGAGATTTTCAATTCGTTGTTGGTATATGCTGAAGAGTTCTGCCTAAAATTTGGCACGATTTCTTACGAAAGGGAAGGCTTTTACTAAGGCGGTCTTGAAATTTTCGTAAGTGGGACTTCCCAATTGACCCAAGAGCTTTTTTCCTATACATTTGAACCAATTGAGCGCTTGGTCCCTCAAAGCGCTGGTAGCTAAGGTGACTTTCTCGAACTCATGGACTGGATATAGCACGAAGTGGTCATCCAATTTTTTAAAAAAAATTGGTTACCGGTGAGTTTCCGTCAAAGCTTGCTGCTGGTTTCATCGATGCACGCATGGTCTGGACGATATATAACCAGGCGGCAGTTGGACATTTCTGGATTCTGAGCCGCTGCTGCAGGCCACCTCAGGTTGTTCTTCTTCTTCGGGCGCCACTGTCAGGACTTGTGTTTCTCTTGATTTGCTTTGGAAACATGGAATGCCCTGAATAAGAACAGGGAGCTTAGTCAGCTATGTTCAAGATTTGTGTATAACAGACGACACAAGCAGGAAGGGTATACGAAACCCTTTATTTTCAATACTTTACAGGCATTTCCGAACTTCGGAATACAGAGACCAACCACTTGAATGTGAACTAGAATATATGAGACTGCTGAAACTACAACTACGTTTGCAAATATCAAGAGAGGGCTAAACCTCTGGCCTTAAAGGCAACCAGAAACGAGTGAAACTCGCAAACTGCAGTGGCTTGCTTCTTAAAACACCTTTTCTCTCCCGCTTGGCAAAAAGCCACAACTTAAGTACTTGGGCGTTAGCAAGACAATTTGCATAAACAAGTTAAAGCATTTAATTCTGGCCAGAAGTAGAAAATAAGAAGTAATAGTACAGTTTTAAAATAAAATAAACGTTAGTAAAACTTAGGATCCTTACAAGGTTTTAAATTCTAAATCCTAACTGGAGTCAGCTTTTTAAAAATCAACAGCTTACAAACTAAGTCCCTGTAAGTTACAAACGATTTATCACAGGCCATTGTTTTAAAAAAAATTTTTTTTGTTGTTTTTTGCACAGCTGAACATTTTCTAATATGAATCTTCTGTCCTTCCAGGTACCCTGGAAGAAAAAATAGTTTAGCACAACACCATTAATTATTCATTTCCATTTCAACTTTACATGGGAAA